GACACTTGTGTTACTTTTTTTTTTTGAACGAACAAGCACGAGACGGTGCTCATTTCATTGATAGAGAAGGAAGACACTTGTTCTCAAAGGGCTTGGCTTAGTGATATTCGTAGAGTACTTACACTGTACTTTTAGTAACACAGTACAGTGTAAGTACTCTACGAATATCACTAAGCCAAGCCCTTTGAGAACACCAAGGCCTTACCTTAACGATCTCTATCTTTTTCTCTCTGCGAAATGGTTTGTTGGAGCACTTAACTGAGCAAGGACAATCCCAAGAGCAGCTGGACATTGAAGATCTGCAATAACAGTCTTAAATTTCTGTATAAAAATTCAGCATGTCATAGAAAATATTATATCTGCATTTATATCCAATGAACATGTACAAGATAACACAACAGTCTGTAGACTACAAATTACAAATACTCAGCAGGCACAAGAAGTGCAGCAATTGGAGTGTAGAAATCCATTGAAGCCCTAATGGTATGTGTTTTATTTACGAAACAGATCTAGACAATAAAAACTTGACACTACAGATAAAAAAATGAAAAATAACTGACAATCTTGAGCACAAGAAATGGGACGAGTAGTGAGCACAAGAAATACCTGCAGGAACAACTACTTTCACAGGTTGAGTCGTGGTCACAGCTGATGCATCCACCTTCAATTGCATCACCGTCACTTTTCTTCTTGACAACATAAACATCTTAGCTCATTAAGGAAATGTCAATTGCATCTTCGTTCATTAAGGAACACAATTGATGCTGTGTCAAGGTTACAACTTATAATTAACAAACATGAGATATCATATATAATCGCAAATATTAAAGTTTACAGCTAACAAAGGATACTGTGCTTAATATGTACATATGGAGGTGGTTCGCTTTCAGTTTCCAGATCCTGTTTATTAATAGGGTCAATACTGAACTCTTGGTCAATATATGGGAGAGGTAAGCGCCGGAAGGTTTCCTGTACATTGATCAATTTCAGTAAGTCAAACAATTTAAAATAAATCATGACCTGCAAAACATGAAAAGAGACTCCAAATGTTGTCTTGTTTTCCTTATGATTTACCGCCAGATTGCTAAACAGTAAATATCCAATATTAAAAGGCTAAGAGACAAATGCAATCTCCATAGTAAATTCATTTTTGAAGTTTTCTTATAAGATTTACATTGACAGTGAACAAAACAAAAACAGAAGAATCTAACACAATGACTGATTGACTGTGTATCAATCCAACCTCATCTGAGCGACCAATTTGCAAAGAAGTTATTATTATAACTTGGAAAAACTGGAAAGGTTCTAATATGTTCAATAACAATGTAACAAATGATACTAGATATCGATCACCTTTATGTCATCTGTAGGGCCAGAATCCTGTAAGAAGCATATATCATAACATCAGCAAAATTACCAACAAAATAATAGTGTCAAAGCTTACTGCAAAAGAAAGGTCTAACAAACATGCATTCAACCTTGATAATACACAAAGAAGGTTCCAAGATATTGAGTACTTTGAAAGTTCTAGGAGTAAAGAAGGTTCCAAGATATTGATAGTACTTTGACCAAAGAGGACATTGTGCAAAGGCGTAGGGCTTTTTTCTTTGCGGGGTGAAAAAAATGACGGTGGGAGGGGTGTATCTACTTTGGTCCTAGGACCGGTGTGATTGACCCAATGGGTGCCATGTGTACATAAAATACTCTCTTTTCTATACTTAATTGAGCAGCAGAGCTCCTGCCTTTTCTTCAAAAAAGATGATGACTAAAGGTCTCAATAATTTCCTTGTGGACCATTCAATCTTATATTTTCCATTTCACAGGTATTGAAGAAGCTAACAACATATATATATGAGTAACTGAAAACAAAGCAGAAAATAATGTGGATGCAGCATTGCATCAACCTCACTTGTTGATGGCCAAGTACTCCAACAAATCATTTTCCTTGAAAGGTCTTCAGAATCAATCATCCTGTTCTTTAGTAAACATTCAGTACAAACAGGCATTGTGCGTTGTATGCGATGTCTAGATGTCCTCCTTTTGCAGCAAAAACAAATCTATGCAGTTAAAAAGTAGAAGATACACAATTGTTAGTTACATGAAAAATTATCTAGCACTTGTATAAGAACAAAAGAAAAATACCAATCGAATGCACAAATAGGTCCTGCCTGTTCGAGGAAAAAATAAGAATCCCTAGTATGTCATGATATTGCTGACCTAAAAAATGGCCACTGCCAATTTTCTGTAAAAACAGAAATGTAGTTTGCCTTACAGTATCTTTTTTGGACAAGACCACTGGATTTTAAAAAGGAAAGATACTGTAGCAAGTGTCTTCCATCACAGCACCTACCAACACTACTACTTTCAAAGTCAGCATAAGGTCAACAAAACATGTTGCTGCTTGACCAGAAGAAAGCACAATCAGTTATATATCCTGACTACACTCAGTAAAAATAAAAAAAGTGAAAACTGAAAGGCTATCAATGAAATGAAAGGAAATATTAGACCTAAAGCTTTGGTTTCAGACAACTCACATGCCGAGGGCAGCATCCATCAGTTTCTTCTGAACAAGCCTTGTGCAAAGTTACATCACAGTGATTAACTGAACATTGCATCCTTTCATCAGGCAGAATACTCTTTGAGCAAATCAGGCACTCAACCTAAATCGGAAAGACTTTTAGATTATTTTTATAGTAAATGAGTAGAACATCACAGCACGGTTTCTAGAAATCAAGATTAGATCTGATACATAGGGCACCAGAGCAGTACTGTATGAACTGTGAAGACATTTTTTCTCCAGAAGCCTTTCAAGTTTATTACTCTTGACATCTTTTCATCATTCATTGACCAACCTTCTTTCTATCACTCTTCCATTATTACCACTAATGCTATCTGACGGCCTCCTGCCAATTCTATCGCATTTGGATAATCAGACACTCAGCAAACTTTCATATCATTATCACCCAGAGAACATTCCAAAGTCGTATATATCCTTAGGAAAACCAAGAAAAATCTGCCATGTTCAATGCAACCCAGTTTATTCAGGTTGTCTATAGTCTATAGACCAACACTCATACCTGCGTAGAAACCACATTAATTTCTCATTCTATGTGGGTGACTGGGTGTACTCAGAATATACAAAAGTTAACCAATAATTCCATATATCTTATTTCTAATAAAATTCTCTGCTCTCCTCCTGTGGGAAACACTTGAATTCTACCACTGTCTTTGTGTTTTCTCTTATCCTTTCATCGATAGTGGTCCCCTCAATCTTAATCAAACGAGCTTACAAGGAAATGCAATTGGCTGCCTTAGTACAGTTGTGCTAAAAGGGTGGATTCTACTCCCAATTCCTATTGTCATGCGGTGGTGCTCCTATGGAGATTTAGTCCTTACTCTGTTGATTTAATATTGTTGGACCATTTTGTTAATTCTCCAAGTCCACTATATCTTCATTATCTGAATTCATGGATTTTCTTCCTCTATTGTGGAACTTATAAAGATGGTACAATATAAGTCTATAATGGCACTCGATGCCCTTTGTCCAGAATCCTCTGACCTTTTACATTTTACACTGGATACAAATTTTCCTTCCACCAGGCCATCATCCCCACTGTTCATCCCTTTCTATATAGATAGTCAAATTCCTGGATGAACCATGTTGGTAATTGTCTATATCACAAGCCAACCATCTCCACATTGGTGCCAGGAACAAGAACAATTTCAGTAAATGTTGGTCGATCTGTCACGAAAAGAAAACATGATGCTTTATGGATAACCCAAATTAATCAGTACTGTACGGTAATGCTACAATTGCTCAAAATTCAACATCATTGAGATCCAAAACTCTTGATTCCTGAAATCTAATGTATACTATATAATGCACCCGCAACAATTTTTGGTTTATTCTTGTCAAAACAGTTCAGTACAGAAGTATAGATGCTTAGATGAAATCAACTAGTATGTAGCTGCAAATGCACACCCATTACACGGCAACACCCATTACACTGTATGGTACAAAATGTTTGCCAGGACCTAGTTTCATCAAGAACAGTCTAGTTTTTTATCTACCATGAAAGAACAGAACAGAAGAAGCAGCATTCTCTGAATTCAAAGGATCGCATAGATCCAAAGTGAAATGGAGGTATATTACTGAATAGTTGCGTTCCATGAAGTGTTTCATATATTTTAGCACTACTATATATTCTAGGACGTGTAAAACCTAAACAGAGAACAAGAAATACGATCCTGCAAATGGTGAAATGGGGAAACTAGCGATTGCTAGTAAAAGTATGGACGAAATCAGGTGTCACATTTTCATTTCATATCTTAGCAAGATAGTATCAAGCGCGAACATATTGTGAGTACAAGTCAAGAAAAACGTCCAGTCCCAACCCTTGAATGTAGAATTGGGCGAGCAAAACTGATAATATCAACAGTTCAAGTGTGTTCAACACCCCAGTATACTCGAAACCAAAATACAGGATTCCGTGACCAAATCAAAGCACCAGACCAGTAAGGAGTCGAATAGAGCGTTTGTTTCAGGGCCAATTCGGACGCAACAACACCATAAGAGGCCAAAATTCACCTTGCATACAAACAATATAGAAAGGCAAATACGGAATAGAGAGACTCGTTCAGCCATGTACGCACCTTCCTGGGGGCGCCTTTCCGGAGAAAAGGAAGGACGCACTCCTCCTCGGGGGCACCCGACGCCGCCTTCTCCTTACCCCAATCCTCCGCTTTGGCGCCAATCTACGTGGGCGGGGGAGCCGTAGGGGACCTGCGAAGCCTCCTTGGAGTGGAGGATGACGACGCCGAGGGGAGGCCGCGGACACGGAGTTGGACTCGGACCGAGCGGCGGGGAGTTACCGCGCCGGATGAAGAAGGCGCATCCGCCTCGGCCGCTGGCGGTGGCGTAGATGCGCGCGAGGGTGGGGGAGGTTGAGAGACCCGCCGCCGGATCCTGATCAGACTTGTGGAGCGGCGTTGGGGCTGCGATGCCGTCGAGGCGGTCTCGGAACACGGGGGCTGATCCTGATCGTCGTCGTCCCGACGCGGGGGATCGATCAGACGAGTGGAACGGCGCCGCTGCGCCGGGGGCGCGGCGGAGGTGGAGGCCAGGGCGGCCTGAGGTGCCCCCATTTCCTTTGCGACGGCGATGGGGCGGTTAGGGCTTAGGGTTCCGTGCGCGGCGCGCGCGATTGGAAACTTCGAGCAGTTGCGGTGGGGAGCGTCGTGGAGAGAGGGAGGCGGGAAGAAGAAGAGGGAGGGAAATGCCGTTGCGTTTTTTTTTTTTGAGCAAAAAATGCCGTTGCGGGGTTGGTCGGTTTCCTTCGTTTCTTGGGCTTATTTAGAGTCCATTTGGGTGTACATCGATGGGCTACAACTGGAAAGGCCCCAATAAGGCATTGGTCTTCTTAAGGAAACAAGATCTTCAGGGTTTCGCACCCACGGTCCCGCCAAAAAAAAGAAGCCTGAAAAACAGGCCTGCAATGCTGATTGACGGGCTTGAGCAGATAAGTATAAGTAAGCCCGAAAGTATTGCCTGCCTTAGAAACATTCGCCGGCTTATAAACCGTATTTTTTTAGCTAACGAACAATATTTTTCTCTCACAACAAATCAGTCAATAGTACTTTCAGCCATAACTTATCAGCCATGACTTATCAGCCAAGGGAACAAGGCAATTAATGGGATGTTTGGTTGGAACTTTGGAATAATCAATACTCCATTATCTTCTCACTTCTTATTAATTTTTAGTTACTTTATTTTTGAAACTAAATGAATTGATTTTTTACTATCTTTTTCCTCACAAGTCAAATACGCATAGGGCTTGATCGTTTTTTTTTGGAACATAGGGCTTGATCGGTTAATCCCCTCCAATCCTCTTGGATTGGGAATTAATGGAACAAGTTCTTAGTATAAATATGAGAAATGGAGCCATTCTATCAAATTTCATGAATGAAATCATGATATAACTCCTTATTTAAGATAAGATTGTTTTTCAAACCAAACACCTCTGTAAATTCATTTAATCTTCAAAATTAAAAGCCATGAAAAATAGCAAGGCATCATCCAAGATATTTGTCTAACTGCAAGTCTTCTTTTAGCAAGAATGCACACTTGGCATATGCCACACTTCTACTGAAATGAGTCTCAAGTTGAATTCTACCTATTTATGCATTGAAATTTTGCTTCCACAGCGTTAGAAAATGAAAAGATCGTTCCGAGATTGCTGAAGTTCCTTACATTTGCTGTGCAGCTATGCTGTTCTTTCAATTGAATCAAAGGATGAACAAAGTCAGGCGCAAATTCTTTCTGCCGCCCTTGAAGTGAGTTTTCCAGCCTACTGTACCCAGCCATTGCAATTTCCAGAGAAATCCCATCTCTTACATTTATTGAACTTACGGATCGTTGAAGATGACAACTCAAGATTTTGACTCAAAATACCGGGCACTTGTTGCAATCGGTTCTCTTGCTGGCACGACGAGGATCACAGAGCTAACCCCTTGCTAAGGAGAGTGACATCTGGCATCCTAACAAATCCACCAAACGACACTCTTGCGCATATCATTGACCTGGTGCTGAAGAGCAGCGAGGACACAGGCCGCCGTGAGATGAAATCTCTGGTCCTGAAGCTTTTCAAGGAGAACAGCAACGTCTGCGCCAATGGTTCTTCAGCAGACTCCTCCTGCATCATGACCTTGTACAGTTGTTTCCAGAACTGCCTGGATTCCTTACTGGCATTGTCTCGCCAAGCTTCCGCTCCAGAAGATCTCGTGGGTGAAGAATCTTCACGCAGCAAAGAGCAAACGGTGTGCTGGGAGAGAGGCGGGCGGCGGCGGCGGAACGGGCGCACCGCGCCATCGCGCACGCAGGGAGGGAGGGCAAGTTGACGACGGCGTGCGACAACTCTGCCCCAGGCCGCTAGAACGCTCGGATTCGGCGGAGGTACGTGACCCCAACTTGGACGGTTTAATTTCAGAATTCGATTACATCTAGGTAGAGAGGGGAGGAGCCCTACCTGGCGCAAGCATTGCTGAGGCTCCATAAGTAAAGGCATCCCTCTCGATGTATTGGCAGATTTGGCCCTGTCAGACATCTCGATTGCAACGAAAAATCGAATCTTTACCAGTAAGGAACGGAACGGGACCTCTGAATCAGGATAACTCGGTGGAGGAGCACAAGATTGTCGGAGGGGGGATGTCCAAGCGGCGGGAGGAGCTGGGCCAGGGACAGGGGACCGGCAAGAGGTTGCAGAAGCAAAAGCATCTCTATCTGGTGCTGGATGATTGGGCCAAGGGCTTCTCGATCCATAAGATCGACGCTACCAACCCTCACCTCGGGGAGCCCCCCGTTCTCCGGCTGGTGGCACCTGTGCCTTGTTGTCCCATGAGCTTTGCCGCCCTTGGAAGCAACATCTTGACTGTGAGCAACCGGCACCGCGGGACCCTCGTCTACGACACGGAGACGGCGGCGCTGGCCACCGGCCCTTGCCTCCCGGATCCGTTACTCGGCGGCGTTAACAACTTTGTGTCCGCCGCCGATACGCTGTATGCATTCTCATACTTCTTTGCCGAAAGGCAGCACTCCTTTGAGGTGATGTCCACGGCCGGCGCCAAGCAGGGTCTGCGTCTATCAACTCCAACTTTGGATTGGTCATGGCAAAGCGTGCCTTACCCATCACCATTCAAGACGGATGAAGTGATTGTCTCCTACGCCCTTCACCCGGATGGACACACCATCTTTATGTCTGCCCACAGAACGCATATAGGTGATCGGACCTTCTCCTTTGACACCAGGCACTGCGAGTGGAGGTACCATGGGGAATGGGCGTTGCCTTTCAGACATGAAGGCTTCTTCGACAGTGAGCTGGATGCATGGGTTGGGCTTCACAAGGATGGTGGCATTTGCTCCTGCCAAGTCATCTCCCACAGGCACAGCAGCACAAGTGCCATGCAGCCGGACTGGAAGATGGTCAAGGATTTCTTTCAAAAAAAAGAAGATGGTCAAGGACCAGCTGTGGAGCCAAGACAAGGTGGCTCGTGGGCCTACTCTGACGTACATGGGTGGCTCCAGATTTTGCATTGTGGAGTGTGTGGTGCGTGAGGGACTGGAGTATGAGGACGCCTTTGGTGACTGTGATGGTTGCATGCTCCATATCACCATGTTCGGCCTCAAATACAGTCACAAGCGAGGGAGAGCTGCAAACCATTGTCCGCACCACCAACTCCTATCTAGTGTCAAAGCATCTTTCGTCGTTTTCTCCTGTAGCCTTCTGGATGTAGGAATGGACCTGCTGTTTGGTTTGGTTGTATGCAATGCATACTTGTCTGCCCAATTACCCTGGCTGTAAGTTATGTTTTATGGCAATAAAAAGTTTGGTTTGGTTGTATGCAATGCATACTTGTCTGTCCAATTACCCTGGATGTAAGTTATGTTTTATGGCAATAAAAATGTCTTCCTGTAATTTGTGGAAGCTGTTGACCTATTTCTTTATGTGGCAGTTCACGGATATGTCGAACTTTAATAAAGAACTAAAAACAGTTGTTGTGTGCTAACCTTACAATATATTGTTAGAACTCTATGATCAACTCGGAGTAGATTTAGCGGGTTCATTCTTTTTCTATTCGGGGCAAAACAAGTAGATCGAGCTAGAACGTGTACAAGAGAGAGAGAGAGAGAGAGAGAGGGGTAGAAATGGCGACCATCAGGCTTGGTGGAGGAGCTGGCCATGGCGGTGAAGAGGACGCTGTCGAGTCGGCGGTCGATGGAGAGGGGCGACGCAGTCCAGTGGCGGCAGCGTCCCAGTGGCTGCGAAGGCGGCGGAGCTTTCCGTTGCTCACAGCGCACCCTCTAGATCGAATTAGAGTTTGTAGGTGGGGTTTGTGGCGGTGTTGGTGAACCTCGTACCGTGAGCCCCGGCCCCCACCTCCTCTTTATAGCGCTGCGCGACGGGGGTTCACCAACTATGATTTGGTTGGGCGCCCCCGATCAGGGCGCGAGTCAGGGTCCGACTCGGTCATTGGACCGAGTCGGTGGAGATCAATCTAATATTCTCCCCCTTGATCTCACTTTATGACTTACACTTAAAATACTTATCTCAGCCCATTCCATCACAGATTAGTGTATAGAGCGTGCTTCGTCACAATAGTTAATACTATTGGATTAATAGCTACAATGCACCTCTCCGTTTTGAAACAGATTTTCAACTAGGCCCTTACTGTCCAGGGATCATAGGTTTTCCCGTAAACCTATGCCGGTTAAGTGTTCTCTGAACATATTGGGCGGTAAGCCTTTTGTAAGCGGATCCGCAAGCATTTTCTTTGTACTTATATGCTAGAGACTAATAGAATGATCCTGGACTTTGTCTTTCACAACATAAAACTTTATGTCAATGTGTTTGGCAGCACCACTTGACTTATTGTTATGAGCATAACATACTGCTGGTTTATTGTCGCAGTACAACTTGAGTGGCCTATGAATGTCGTCGACCACTTTCAACACGGGCATAAATTCTTTTAACCAGTTCATCTGCCCCGTGGCCTCATAACATGCTATAAACTTGGCATACATCGTGGACGATGCAGTGACGGTTTGCTTGGAGCTTTTCCATGATATAACTCCTTCCGTGAGAGTAAATACATGGCCTGGACTTTCTATCATTTACATCTCCCACAAAATCTGAATCTGAATACCCCTCTATATGTAGGGAATCAGATCTTCTGTACGTTAGCATGAGGCCTTTTATACCTTACAAATAATGCAAGGCTTTCTTTACCATTCTCTAGTGTTATATTCCTGGATTACTCTCATATCTTCCAAGTATCTTGGTAGCAAAAGCTAAGTTAGGGCGTGTACATACTTGAGCATACTGTAAGCTTTCAACAGCTGAAGCATACTGTATTTCTTTAGAACCTTTTCTAAGTATGTCTTTTGCGATAATCCTAAAACCCCGTTTCTCCTATCTCGAAGAATCTCTATTCCTGAAACGAATGAAACTTCACCGAGATCTTTCATATCAAAATTTGAGGACAAGAACTTCTTCGTCTCCAGTAGTAGATTAACATCGCTATTAGCGAGTAAGATGTCATCCACATACAAGATTAGGAAAATGTATTTCTCATTCTTTAACTTTACATAAATGCAATTGTCCTCCACATTCTCTTTAAACCCAAACTTCCTTATTGTTTCATCAAACTTTAAATACTACTGTTTAGAAGCTTGTTTTAATCCGTAAATGGATTTCTTCAGACGGCATCTCATATGTTCTGTTCCTTTCACGACAAAACCTTTTGGTTGTGCCATATAAACATTTTTATCCAAATCTCCGTTAAGAAAAGTTGTGTTTACATCCATCTGATGTAATTCTAAATCATAATGTGCCACTATCGCCATTATGATTCTAAAAGAATCCTTACATAAGACTAGAGAAAATGTCTCATTATAATCTATTCCTTCTCTTTGCGTGAAGCCTTTCGCCACAAGTCGTGCTTTAAATCTTTCCACATTCCCTTTGGAGTCATATTTAGTTTTGTATACACATTTACAACCTATTGTCTTGGCTCTTTTAGAATTTTTTTCTAAGTCCCAAACTTCGTTGGTGCTCATTGATCTTATTTCATCTTCCATGGCTTCAAGCCACTTCGACAAGTGAGCGCTTCTTATGGCTTCTTTAAATGAGGTGGGATCACCCTCCATTTGAAATTTTTCATCACCTTCTGTAACACCCTGGTGTTATGATCTTGTTTAGCACCGCGATTTAGGCCTAAGTAAAATTTTTGAAATGATTTTCTTAGATTTTTATGATTTAAAAACCAGCTTTTGGCGTCAACGGTAAAAATCAGAAAATATATTTTAAAGCGTTGTTTGTGGCGATTCGTTTTGCGTAAAATAATTACATAACGCCTTAATATTTTGTTCCATGGCTTGGTACGAGCATGAGCTATCGCGTGCGGTGTTTATTGGTGAAAGTCAATAGGATTTAGCTCTTTTATAGTTGTCAGCAACGTATCGCTGTCACCTCTGCGTCGCGTCATCGCACGAGCAGGCAGGCAGCCAGTAGAGCCACACGGTGCCCACGTGTTCTGCTGTAGCGTGTTACCTCACGTGCGTACCCAGACGCGCGTTATTGAGAAAGAGCCATACCGCTATTATTTCGTGCACAGGCCGCGTGCAGGGGCGCCATTGTCGTGCCTTAGCGCGTGAAACATGTGTTGTCCTTGCTGCTGCCACGCTGCTCCTGCATTAATGAAAGTTGGCCGAACACTCTTGTTTTCCTCCTTTTCTATTTCTATGGCCGTGGCCTTGTCCTTGCCTGCCGCTACTAGCCGTGCTGCTCCTCCCATCCACAGCAACCCCAGTGCCCCACCGTCGGCATGCCTCCTTCGCTGGGCCATCGTCCACGCTGGGAGCCGCCGCTGCCCCGTAGCACAGCACTACGCGAGCTCGAGCCCATCACCACCGCGCGCCCCCTTGGTGAACCGAGCTGCTCCGGGTGACCTCCGCTGGCACCTGCGCTGCTCCCATTGCCGGCCATCGCACGCGCATGCTGCTACCTGCCCTGCTCAGGGCCATTTTAGTCTCGCTAGTCACCATGGCTGCCCTCCCTCTCCTCCAAAATTGATCGTGCATGAAGAGCCTCCCTCCAATTCCTTGCACTCACTGGTGCCCAAGGTCCATAGCTTGCCACTGCAGTTGATCGTGGGGTAAATCGTCCACCAGCGAGCTCGCCCAAAGCATCGCCGTCGCCGCTGGCCACCGTTGGCGCCGCACCAAGCTCGGCCATGTACCCTCCTATCCCTTCCATTTTTCTATGATCTTCTCGGTGTTATTGCTCCGCGTTGATGCCTCAGACTCGCCTGCGACATAGGTTCGCCGGAGCTCTAGTGGTTCGCCGAAACGACGATGGCGCCGTCGTCGTGCCCGCTCGGATCCACCCAGCACGTGACCAACCTCCTCCACAGCTTCGCCTCACCAATGAACCGTCGTAGCTAGACCTAGGTGAGCCCTAGTACCTTCGCTACCCCTCCGCTCTCCTGATTTCGTAGCCTTATCACCGGGACGCGCGCGCCTTTGTCGCCATTCGCGTCTGCACATGGGTAGACATGCCCCTACACGCCGCTGCCCTAACCACGGGCCGTTGCGGTCTTGCGTGGCCGCGCGGACCCCGTGATGGACCTACGCCGCTCGCGGCTGGCGTCCCACTGCCATGGAGCCTCTCCTGGCCGGGTTTGTCCGTCGGTCGGCCAGCTCTGTGCCGTGCCCTGTCCCTGGAACGGTCGGGGACTTTGGAAATGCGAAGACGAGTTACTTCGGGGCCCTAAATGCATAACTGTGACTGAAATAAATAGTGTCAACAGTCGTAATGCGAATTAGAAAGATGGCAAGGTCGCTTTTGCAAGATAGACATCCCTCCCTAGGCCTTCCCTACTGGGCCGACCTGTTGACGCCGTGTCCGGGCCGCTCGCTCCCACGCGGTGGGCCAGCCGGTTGCCGACGCGCCCCTGTGGGCTGCGCCGCGCTGCTGGACCATCGCCGCGCCGCTTTGGCCGGCCTGGTGCCACGCTGTGCGCTGGTGCCGCGCTGTACGCTGGGTCGCGTGTTCCAGTGGGCCGCCCACGCGGTTATCGCTGCTGTTGGGCCAGTTTTAGTGCCGCCGGTCCCTTTTTCATTTTGAGGTATTTTCTAATTGAATGTTGAAGCAAACTTGCAATATCAATATAAAATTGTGTAGGTGTCCAAAAATAGTGAAACTAAGTTTGTTAAGTTTCTAAAATCATGATCTACCTGTTAGTATATTTTGTTCATATAGTCTAATAATAGTCTTGGAAGCTATATAATTAATTTAAGATACTTAATATTGTAAAAATGTAAACTTGTAGGAATTGTTGTGATAAATTAGTAATATGGTTGAATCTAAAATTTGTACAGTAGGCTCCTAGCAATATTAGGTACTCACTGTAATTTTTGTAGCTCCAGAATAATTAGTTTGCTAAATAGATAATGATGCCCTGTTCCGAATAAAGATTAAATGGATAAAATGGGATAAAGAAACAACTTGGGTTTGTATAACGAAAACAATTGTTGGGAAGTAACGCCTTATTCGA